TGAGGGTTATCCAGCTGCTGTATCATAGAGACACTAAAAAGGTCTGCCAAAGACTGCGATATTCATAAACATTTAATGACTCTTTATATAATCATCACAGTAGCTCTCCTTACAGAAATGCTGGTCATTAGACTGAAAATAATCTTTGGTGGAGCAATTTAGTTGAGGTGCTTTAACCTCTGAGCCCTTTATATATTAATGCGCATTGGCAGTTCTGATGCATTATGGAGTCATTCTACCCAGACCAGTAATGGAGCGTGGTTGTTAATGGACGCTGCTCGTGTTTGACTTCCTCAGGCCGCGGCGCGACACCACTGCTCGTACACCGTGCAGCAGCACAGCGCCGGCTTCCTGGAGGCCGGGGGGGAGGAGAGCTGGCTGAGCGGACTCCAACACGCGCCCACAAAGCTCCGCAGCCTGCAGACACTCAACAAGCTGCTGGCACACAGACCCTGGCTCATCACACAGAAGCATGTACAGGTCAGACACCACACACACTGACCACATGTATGTTATGTTAATCGGTGATGCACATTAATAAATACAACCAATGTAATGTAATGTAGGATTTAGTTTTTGTGATATTGCTTTTAATATACAGGTGTTCATAATTGTATCCTCTTTTTGTTGTGTGGTCATAACTTAACAACAGTTAGAGTCTACACTACAGCCATGCTAGCTGCTTTATGAGACTGACTCTACTTAGACTAAATGCTTACATTAGCACCACTGTGTGTTAGCTAGAGCTGTAATGAAGAGTTTAAAGCTTCATTCATAACGTTAACTTCAGAATTTATAATTAACATTCGAATACTGTTTATTATTATTTTATATTCAAACTCACATTTTTAGATAAAGTTTAGGTTACACAAATATGATACTGTTAAGGATTGTTAACAACTTGTGTGCTCCACAAATACTACTATGAAGGATTAACTCCAGATCTAAAGTCCAAAATTCTAAATGTATTGGAAAAAGCTTGATGTAGTAACTTCCAAAATTCTTAGCAGGTTTTTATATAACAAGATATTTTCCATATGATTAGAAAAATCTGCACACATGTATTTATGGAACTACATGCTTGTAAAGTAATTGATAATCACAATCATTACAACTCATCCTGAGGGAAACACGAGTGCCTTTCCCACCCAACAACACTACTGTATGAAACATCACTTACCCCCACCCCCACCCCACCCCACCCCCACCCCTCTGCCCTGCAGGAGCTGGTGTGTCCCGGAGCAGATCCTCGCTGGTCATTGGCTGAACTCATACACGCCGTGGTGCTCATGGCTCACGCTCACTCCCTCTGCTCCTTCGTGTGGGGCTGCGGCTTAAACCCTGAGCCCGACCACATCGGAGGTTACACCTTCCAGCTCCCCTCACCCATTCACCCTCCTCACAGCCCTCAGTGCCCCGCTCATGAGGACGGCAGGCAAGAGGTTAGTCATTTTTTCCCCAGATGTCTATCTATGTATTCCAGCGGTGTTTCCCCAGTCACACCGGTTCGGTAAAAGGGAAACAAAGGTTGTCTGTAAGAAACAAAGTGCCAAGTAAATTCCTGAAGCCCTACTCTCTAATTTTCTCCTCCAGATTGTTGACGGAGCGATGGAGGTGGAGGTGTTGATGCAGAGGATGGTGGAGCTGCAGCTGCAGGAGGAGGAGTGCACACAGGAGGAGATGGTGACTCGCTTTGAGAGGGAGAGGAGCGAGAGCATACCGACCGGTACAAACACTCTTTATTCCACGCATTACTTCGTCCATTGATTGATTTGAATTGATTTGAATTGGTTTACTCACTACTTCTTCTTTAACGTGTTTGTTTTAGCGGTGGTGCGAGGAGCGCCACCGGACCTGGTGCTGCGTCTGATGGAAGATCAAGAGTTTAGATACGAGGACTTTGCCCCCAGGGGAGAACAGTCACCAAACACCATGAGAGCCCAGGTAGCTTTCTGCAAGTTCAAGTTGTTTATATTTATTTAACCTTACTTTTCACAGTGCATTTCATTTGTTTGTGCCAACTTCCATACACATGTGTTGGTTGATGTTGGTGTCTGATGTGTGCAGGATTATTCATGGGAGGACCACGGCTTCTCTCTCGTCAACAGACTACTGCCAGACATGGGTCAGCTCCTGGATGAAAAATTCCAGGTACACTCAACTTTAACCTTTTAGAAGCAAACCAACAAACACTCATAAGCTGATTTAAAAAAAGCTGAACTAGTGATGTATGGCTAACCTAACGGGTCTTTCCGCTCCAGGAAGTTTAAAGGGGACCTATCATGCAAAATGCACTTTTTGATGTCTTTTATACATAAATATGTGTCCCCGGTGTGTCGGGGAACTCACGCAGCATCATAAAATAAAACCCTCTCTCTTTTCCTCCGTACCCAAATCTCTAAAAACGGGGCTACAACGGAGCTGATCCAGATTTGCGTCCGATATGACGTCATATCGGAAATGTAGGCTGGCTTTACACCCACGGCCCTATCAGAAACATTGCTATCAGAAACAATGCCCGACTGTTTTGGACGTAATATGGTCGGTGTTTACATTAGCATCGCTAACACTCAGAGCTAACCTGTACTGCACAGAGAATGTGTGTGTGAAGAAGCAGGAAATAAAAAGGAACTCACCTTGTGGTATAACCGGCAAGAGAGAAAGCCTTTGAGCTCCATACTGTTTCAGAGATAATCCTTGATAATCCATGATATGGTGTTTCATCACCGCAGTATTTAGTTTAGACAGTAGCTGCCGGGTCCCGCATGAGCTCAGCTCCCTCCTTTTTTCTTTTTTATCAATTTTTCTTTTTTTAAAGCTTTATACCCAAAATCAGCACTTTTGAAACAGGAAGTGAAATAGAGGAATATGAGGCATGGCTAGAATGGGTGATCTGTTTGGTATTTTGAGCAAAACACTTCATAGACATGTTTTTTATATATCTGAGACCTATGCTATTCATAGCTCGTGTTTCCAGAGTAAGGTCCGTTAGATAAATATATTGTCTGTACATTTGTAATTTTTCAGTTGGTGGAAATATATATATATATATATATATATATACTGGGCAATTTTACCTCTGCAAATGAACAGTTAGGAGGAAAACATGATTCTTTAATTGATCTTATCATACATTGACATGCACCCTTTAACATAGGGGTTTTCTATTGAGAGGTCACAACCCAAAATAAAATTATTAAAATGTGTGTTCTGTCAAAATGGTAGAAATGTTATACTTGGCATCTTGTTCTGTCGGTAGAATACTATATACTTTGTCACATTATTTGAGTATATTATAAGTTTAAACAATGTTTTCACAGGTTGTGAGCAACTTGACCTACAACAGGATGGCCATGCATGAAGATGTGGACACTCACACTCTGAGGAAAGCTCTGTGGAACTACATCCACTGTCTGTACGGGATACGGTAAGTACCACACACTGTTGGAAATATAGAAGGTTCAATTGTTTTATGTTTCTGCTAAATCTGACTTTTCATCACTGTACCTGTGCAGCTACGACGATTACGACTACGGCAGCGTGAACGTGCTGCTGGAGCGCTCGCTGAAGGTGTTCGTTAAGACCATGGCCTGTCACCCGGAGCAGACCACGGCACGCGTTTATCACGCCTTCTGGAGACACTTCAGACACTCGGAAAAGGTACGCGCGAGTTCAAACACTCACCTGACCCGGCCTCTGGAGCCACAATGAATGAATCATTTAACATTTTCACACGCCGTCTCTTTTTGGTACCTTCGAGACAAAGAGTGAATCATTTGACATTTCAGCATGTCCTCTCTTTTTTTCTTTCCTTTTTTAAAATGTCACTATTGAAGTACGCTTTGAATTACAGACAGGACATTTGAGTGTGTCACCTACTAATGTGACTTGACTTATTCCTTTTCTTTTCCTTTTTTTCGCAGGTTCATGCAAACCTAATAGTGATGGAAGCCCGGCTACAGGCAGCCTTACTTTATGTTTTACGAGCCATCACACACTACATGAGATGACACACTCTCTCACACATTTTTGCAGATGCTGAGCCAGCTGTGACACACCACAGCTTAATGCATAACACACACACACACACACGCACACGCACACGCACACACGCGCGCGCACACACTACAGTGAATGTTTGTATATGCATATCTTAAGTTCCAGTGTTAATGTTTTGATGCTGCTTTGCGACTGGGATATCTGATATTTAAAAATTGTTACTTATTTTGCACTGAAATCTATCAGGTTTTGTTTCCGCCTTTGAGCCTCAAGTGTTGTTGTGAATATCTTGCACATATTTCTGTCAGACAAAGACATATCTACAAGCTACTTGCCAGGTACAATTAGGTCTGGTATAACTAAATTATCTTCATGATTCTACTGTTTGACATATCTGTTCAAGCTAATAATGATCATACACATCAAGACTACTCATGCCTCAGTCCTCTCCGTCTGCAGCACAGAGGCTGAAATCAAAACAGACAAATAACTTGTATTTTTATATACAATAAAAAGTTACTTTGTTATCAAAATGAAAATGACTGTGTTGTGTCTGGACATCATTTTCTGCCAAGAACAATTCAACAAAGAAAATACTCTACGTCTCTTTGTATTCTGATTTGACAAGCCCTTACATTGTGCAGCAGGAGTTGCATTATCTCACCACAAGATGGAGACAAATACTCAGAGAAATGTGAAAGGTCACCACAGTTAACTTTGCCAACTCACTCTTCAAGATAGTTTGTAAAAGAGAGACAATAGATATGTCCTTTTTCTTGAGTTGAGGTTCAATGTAATATCCAAAGTCATATCAGTGTGAGACATGCTGGTAAAGCACACACAAGAGAATAGTCACTCTTGTACGCGGATATCACACATTTTGTTTAGTCTTCCTGTAGTTCACACTATTGAGTGCTTGTGTCGCCTCTCACCCTGCCTGTCAGTCAAACATCGAGAGTGAAAATACCCAGACTGCATCATCACCAGCTACTGCCGGTTTTCAGGGACTACATGCTACAAGTAGCCTACTTCCACAATAACTTTCTGCTTTTTTAGCGTGATTAATGCAAACTCTTTATCAGAGTAATCTAATTCAACTTCCTCTTCTTTGCGTTTTCTGCAAGGGTACCTGATAGCAGTCAAAATGATTGTGAAAGGTAGTTTCAGGTTTGATCTTAAACGGCAATGTCCTTATATTTTGAAGGAGAATAAGTATACATAATTGAATAGGTTGTAAATGGGCGTTTACATAATTTCTCAAAGGAAAATAACAGTTAAAGTTATAATTTATTTTAAACATCAATGAGTAGGTCGTACTGTACACTACACGCGCGCGTTCCTCTGGGGTGGACTTCGTCGCGCGCTTGAAGTCCGCTCCCAAAGCCTTCCGGACGAGGCGCGCGCACACTTCTTTTTCACTTGCTCGCTGCTTTTCACCCTGCGAGACACCGGACACCACTAACTCACATCGGGACGCCAGGGTTCCCCGGAATAAAGACATTTTTTTCGTCAGGTATGTCTCCTTTTAATTATAATAAATGTCTGAAATTGTAATATATACATATCAGTCTAACAGTCGTATAATTAGAACATCTTTGCTTTGATGTCTTTACCAGCAAATAGTGGGAATTCCACATAAATCTTGGTACATAGTTTTGTAGTTTTCCATAATAACCTGTCAAATGGATTTTAGTTTTTAAATGTTTAACAGTTATCTTCTGTATGAGTGGAGGAAGTTGGTTCACACCTCAGTGAAAGAGACTAAATGTAACTAGGGTGGGTATAAGGTCACTGAATTAGGCTACCACAGAACTAACATAGATTGATTATTTTCTGCAGACCACCACCCAAGGGCCCTCTCTACTTTTTTTCTTTTTCTTTTTTAGACTTAATAGACAAATCTGCTGACAGTTTACAGTATTTTTAAAAATTGTGTAACATGTAAACTGTGAGATAAAAGGAAGTTTGGGTATTTTGATTGTGAAAAGTTAATGCAGTGCGGCAACCAGTACTTCCACTCTTCATACTGGACGGATACCACACAGAGGGATATTTAGAAATCAAACAGCCAACATTGCAATATTGAAAGAGTGGAACTTACCCAAGTTAAGTCAATGTCAGTGCTTTTTTTTCAAGTGGAATATGACTATTTAAACAATCTAGGTAACTAGTGATAGGCAAGGATGATCCATTATAAGGTTGTAATAAGTTTATAGAACATTGATGAATTGAAAAGGTCAAAGGGTCAAATATATATCAGGTTGTGGCTGACAGCATCATCCAGATCAACTGGGTGGTTTTTGTTTGTAATTGTACTGAAGGCTGTCTATCTATCAGACTTTGTTGAATTTGCTCTAGTGGCAGAATATTCCTTTAGTGAATACCGGAAGCCACCTTGAGGAAAAGGCAAGGCTGCATGTTTCCTGAACATGTCCCTCTATATCTGAGGTGTTTCCGTGGCATTAGAGCAGTCAGGTTGTGTTAGTTGCTTCTTCACCATGGCCTGCAGGGAGGTTTGCATACACACTCCACCTTCCTCAAAGTCATCAACATCAATCTTTGTTTCACTACTGATTTCATGGCGGCTTGTCTGTCTGTGTGAAGCATTTGTTGTGGAATTTTGACGGTCGGATTGGGAAAAACGCGATTAGGCTGTCCAAGGCCGGACTTCATCACTTCCTGTTTCTTTACGAGGTCAGTTCCTGTCTTTAGCCTCGGGCCAGGAAGGAAGGGGGCGTGGAGTTGTTTTTAGTTAGGGGGGTTAACATCGTCACACAGATTTCCCACCAAGCAGCTGAGGACAGTAATTGTCCTAGATGAGTTTTGTGATAGACAGGGTTGGATAGAGGCTGGATCTGTCATTTCAGACAGACTTTCCCATCAGCCACTGGTGCAACCTGAGGAAGACTATTCTTCCTTTTGCACCCATATAAGCAAGCCCAATGTTAAAATGCTTAGAAAAACAGACGCAATAACTTTATTCATTTAGGCCTTCCAACAAGCCACCTCTGTATCTGGAGGATATGGTGACTTCATGTGGAAACAGGACGTCCCAATGGCTGAGACACCTTTCTTTTCCATTGCCCCCCCCCATCCAGTTTGTCCCGTTCCTAGTGTGTGTGTGTGTGTGTGTGTATTCTATGTGTGTTGCGTTCGGTGACAGCTTGCTTCCCATTGTCATATCATTCCTGCTCCACTCACCCTCTGCATCCTGTGAGGCTTCCTGCTAGTGAGGCAGAGAGTCGAAACAAGAAAGGTAAGAGAAGACATGGTGAAATAAGAAAAGGGAAGGATTGGACAAAGTCTGGCAAGAACTTGTGTAAAAGTACAGTAAACTCAACAGATTTGAACAATCCTGTCTCTGAATTCAGAGAGAAACAGAGACACACACGCACACGCACACACACACACGAGTGTGTTTCTCTCTGAATTCCCCGCTGGGAGAAGCTTATCTGCAGTCCACTGTGCAGGAAAGGGTGTGTCATTTGGATTTGGGTGTTTGCGAGTGTAACGATGGAGGGTGATGTTATTGTGATTTTTATACGAGTGCACTATATGCATGTTAATGATTTAGAGGTGATTTGCTTCCTTATATTGTTGTTGTTGTTGAGTACAACACTTGCAGTTAAATTTAAAGCAGTTATGGAAAGAAATAAGTATACATTTGATGTACTTATGAATGTATAATTTAAGAGGGCGCTCCTGTTCTTTTTACTACACTACTTTTATTTCAAACACATGTATTTGCTGCTTTTCAGATTATTCTTCGCATCATAATGGCCCAATTATATAAACACTTAAAGCAGCCATTTCACATTCTGATTTTAAGTACACTTTGCTGATAATACTTCTAGAGTCAAACCCTTTTGAACGTAGGATTTTTGTGATGGAGAGCTGTTTTACTACTTTTTGAAAAAGCATTAAGGGGAGATACTCCAAATACAAAACACAGCTGTGCATATCGTTTCAGGTTGTGAGATTTCTGACTCCAACCCAATACATAAAAGCTACATTTACTTTGAAGCACTCGCAGCATTGCGATACTGTTAAAAATTCCGCAGTGACAACTCACAAAACCCTGATCTTACCAAAGACAGTTTTCTTACGGTCAACTTTTTTGGGCAAAAGTGAAGTTTTTGAATGATATATCCAAACCAAGTAAACCTTTTTCTAACTATTTGTTTGTCATACCTTAACGGGTAGATGAACATGTTTCTAACGACACCTTAAAAAGTGTCAATGACATGGCGAATATGCCTATTAATAAAGGTTAAGTAAACCTGATGCTGTGAAAAGGCATGTTGCTGCATATCACAAAGTAAAACCGCACTTCTCCCCACCAGAGGAAACTACTTCTGTTTTGTAATGATGTATTCTGGCCTGCTGCTATAAAAGGGTTAGCAACCAGTCAGTGATGTGAAACAGTGTTTTGAAACATCAGACTAATTGAATACTGGTATCTCTCTTAAATGAGTATGATTGAAAAGTGTTTGTTTTTGGGGTGTACATTCGGCAAGATGCAAGCATTAATGGCCATTGTATCATTAATGATAGTGCTATTTGTATTGTTTTCTAGTTTGAAGGGTTAGCAAATGGCTCAACATGTGTGCATTACTGAGGAACAGTGATCAGTTTGTTCATTATATTTATTTCCCTTATTTATGTATGTATGCACGGATATCGTCTGCTCTCATAACTTACATTTAAAATTACATATATTTCAAACTTTGTTCGTCTTGCAAACTGTGTCTAAAGGTTGTTGCTTGGTTTCAATCTGCAAAGAGGAACACACACTGTTCTTAAATTACTTTAGTGTCATTTCAGTATACACGCTAATTGATCATGCTACCCCAAAATAACACACACACACACACACACTGCTGTAGCAACTTGATTCGAAGGGAAACCCAGATCATTATCATAGACTTGTTGATGTGGAGGCTCTCCTCCATGGCAGGTTATAAACCAGTCAGTGGGTGCACAGTAGCACATGTTCCTGTCCGTGCTTCATTGGTGAAGCCTTCGTCCAGTTGGCCGTGTTCCCGGCTGTGTGTGTGACTTTATGTATAAACACTCGGGTCAACTGAACGATCAGCTGCTAGTTCAGCTTCACTCTGCAGAGAGGAAGACAAAAATGTGATCAACAGGAACCCAGCGGAGAACAATGACTGTACGGCCGTCAGCAAACAGTAATGTGTTTGTGTGTGTGCATCTACCAGTGCAAGGAAGGACACTTTTGAAATTATAAAAGGTTCCAGATTGCTAGTTCCCCTGTTTAATTTAAAAGCAATGTTACCTTTTCCCTGGTTCATCAAAGTGACGTAAGGGTTCCTTTTGATGACTTTGTTTTAAACTGGGCCAAGAAGCTAAAAAGTCCTAAAACAACCTAGAACCAGGCAGTAAAGACATCACAACAGTATTTAAAACTGATTCATTTCAGACTTTTATTAGAAATCCTTCAATATACATCGAAGATTGGACCAGAGAAACACTATGAATGTACATACAGAATGTTACCACTTAACCCCTTCACAGGAACCACCTAAACCCGTGTGATTTATCATTATCAAATTCATGTTGTCATTTAATTATGTAACTCCATGTTATGCAGCTGATCCTTTCTGTGGTCACCGGCTCATCTTAGAGAAGCAGGAGATGAAGAGACGACAGAGAAGGCAGAGGTGAGATGAAGATGAAGATGAAAGGCGCTTCTCTCTTTTAAAAACTCATCAAAGTGAAGAAAGTCAGCAGCTTCGGTCCAGTGGAGAGTAGAGAGAGAGAGAGAGAGAGAGTTGGAGGGGTTGGAGGAGTTGGGGGAGAGAAAAACAGCTCACAAAAAAAAGGTGTGTGTGTACTCTGTCTTCAGTTTCCAGGAAAAAGGGGGAGCGATCAGAAGGGTGGACAGGAAACTCTAACAGGGCTTACTTCCTGTAGCTCTCCTGATGGCCCACCTGATAGTGAATCAGTGTGTGTGTGTGTGTGTGTGCGTGCTTGTGTAACATTTTTGCATATTTTGCTTCGGCCTTTCCTTGATGTTGCCCATAATAGCCGTTGTTGGTTTTAAGATTGAGAGGAGTTTCAGGGGGATTTGTGGATGGGATCAACCTGTCGCTGCTCACTGGAAGCTCTGCTGGTTTTTTAATGAAAGTGAAATACTCTTGTTTTTTTGTCGCTCCCTGCCATAACCTTTATTGTTCTTCCTCTGTGAGACTTCCCTCACATTCCTCAGGAGGTGGGGGGGGGGGGGGGGGGGGGCTGCAGGCTGGAGTTTAGTCAGATTGAAAGGTTGCCAGTTTGAATCCGAGGGCCACTCAGCTGCCAGATGATTGTATTATAACACTAATGCAGTCGAATACAACAAGCCTGCAATACATTCTCTCTGCATTAAGGCTACAGAATATTTCAAACTTTCAGAGAGGTGTTTATTTGAGTGCTGTTGGATTGCAATAGACAGACAGAGAGATTTTTCTAACATCAGTTACAATGAATTATTAAACATTGGAAACTATAACCTCAGAAAAAACCATAACGTTTAATCTGCGGGTGCAATTTAAAATCATTCACAGTATTGGTGAATCTGCTAATCATTTTAATGCCTACACAAAAATGTGAAATATACTAATCACAATTTCCTTCCAGAAAGCTTATCTTGTTCAACCAGCTGTCCAAAACCTAAATACCTACTATAGAATAAGAACTTTTGATATATAATATATTTTGCTTGCATATTCTGATTCGCCCAAACAGTCTTCAAAAAGAAGATCATTATGACATTCTTGACTGTGGGATTTATTGCAGGGCTGTTGCATCGACAGACTTAAACCGCATGGTAATAAGGGAGTTTTTGGGGTAATGGTGTGTCATTTATTTGCAGCTGGTCAGAGTCGGGCATGATTTCCTGTTTGTGTATGCTAGGCCTTCTGGCTGACTTTCTGTAGATCCATTTTTACTGTACGGGTGGTTTCAGCATTCTCATCTAACTCTTTGATGAAAAACAAAATTACCCAAAATATCAAACCTTTGCTGTGAGCTAGTAATAAACAGTTGACTGGCAGTACGCATGTTTGTTTCCTGAGGAACAATGTCAAATGTTTTCGCCCTACAATTAAAACGTTTTACAGTCTTTTCTGTATGCTCTCCTTGATGCTGATTTGTCAACAAGCTCTTTCTATGCAAAGAGGTTCACCCAAAACTGGAAGTCAGGATTGCGTATACACGTGTGCACATCTACAGGATGATCTTTGTGAAACACATTTCACATTTTCAGTGACTGTCACTTTGTGCCAGTTGCATCTGTCTAATGATGACATTCACAGGTCTGTTTCACCACACACACACACACATGCACGTTCATGTACACACAGCTGTTGACCAGAGTACCCCTTCTCGAAACTGCAAAAAGCAAAAAGGGAAGTGGCTAACCTCACATCTCTCTTTGTCTTTGCTTATCTCAAGCTGGCTCTCTCTCCGTTTTTGTGTAGCTGTCTCTGTCTCTCTCTTCACACACATCTCTTTATTCACGCTTTAACGCTCTTGAGCATTTCTCTCAGATTCTCAAAAACCTTCTTCTTCCCAGGTTCTCTGCCACTCATCTTCTCTCTCATTCAGCTTCTTGTCTCTCACCACTTCCCTCTTTTTTTCCCAGTGGCGATGGTGATTGACAGATGATCTGATAGAGGACAACATCAGGTGAGAAAAAAAAGTTGACTTCTACTTCCTCCAACCTCAACTTCTTCCTCCTCCCGCTTGAGGGAAGTCATTTTTAGTTTGTTACTTCTCTCTTAACACTTCTCTTAAGTTAAGTGGCCGCCTACATGTTGTTGATGTGTGATACTTTCACTTTCTGTCAGTCTGTGTTTGAAGTCTCAGGTTGTGTAGACAGGAATTAGGAAAGATGATAAGTTCACAATGTTTTCGTTTTTTTATATTTACATTTTCAATCCTCTCATAATCCTGATTCTTGTTTTTTTATTTTGTTAAGAAGTGGTTGTCATGATATCTTAAGTCGTTGTTGTACTAAAGGGGAGACACCATTTTAAACATTATTTCAGCTTACTTGTTCCAAGGAGTGCTGCTCAGCCTGAAGTTGTATATTCAGTTGTGATTTCTTCTGTGACTAAAGGAGATTTCCAATATGTAAACAAATGAATACCCCATAGGAGCTAAACCTTTAGTGACCTGTCTGACGCGCTGTACCGTGTGGATAAGTAACTGTATGTTGTGTTGCCTCAATGAAGAATCAACAGGCTTGTCTTCGGTTGCAGCATAATACAATCTGTTTATTCTTGTCTCGTAGCATACGTCATAAATCCATATCCATTCATATTCCATTCATTTAACAAATCAAACAGTACCTACAAAACACTCTCACACAGAGGTAAAAAACAATATGCTCTTCCGGGGTCAAACACAGCCAATGATGTGATACGACACACCCTAAATACCTGTACCCTAGGTGATAGGACAGCGACACACGTTGGCACACACAGTAAATAACACACCATCGTCTCTGACACCTGTCATCAGGGTTACTGCGGCTTGGGCTTGTGATTTGAAAGATGTTGTTTTGAACTGGAAATATGGGTTTTGAAAAGTGGTCAGGTTAAAGATATTATTTGGTTGCATTATGGGAAATGTAAGATCCGGTGTTTCTGGAGAGTAACTCATGCTCCGCTTTTAAAAACAGGATATTTTTGGCCTGCTGCTTCAATTTTGACCACAGTTTTCCATTTTATGGAGGTAAAGTACTAAATCTCTAGAGTATCATTTTACACGGGTTAATTCGTTTTTATTCTAAATAAACCTTAGGGTGTTATCTCGGAAAACAGAACATATTGTTACTTAAAAATAAACTAAATTCATATCTATTGGCAAAACAAATATGGTACATGGAACAAAAATATAGTGCAATAAGAAACATGTTGTGCAATAATAGAAACTAATTTCAAGTGCAATAAACAACAGTAAAATCAGTTGAATGCTCCCTGTAGATGTATATTTATAAAGAATTTGCTATAACAAACAGCCTACAGCACCAGGCAGCAATGAATACAATAATACATTGACATTTACATAGTGAGAAATAGTTGTGGAGTGTTTGTTGAACTCTGCTTGCTTTCACAGACGCTGTCTCCGTGCTGGTTATTATGGGGTGTGCCTGTTGCAAGCAGAAAAAGGCGGCCAAAGCAGCAGCATCATCGGCAGGAGTGGATGCTCCAGATCTGTCTCCTAGCAACGCAGATGGAGGGTTGTCCGCGGCCTTGACTCAGGGCCGTTACTGTCCCGACCCGACGCAGACCATCCCCGACTTCAACAAGGGCTTCTCCTCCAGCGCCATCTTCCCCAGCACCAACGCACACCTGCGGCCTGGAGGCGTCACAAGTAGGGCGGTCTAACGGTTTTATCGTGTTAGCTAGAATCAGGAAGGTGAAAATAACTATATTACCAAGTACAGGGTGCCATAAATGTATAGTAGAGCAACCAAGTGCTTCTTCAGCTACAGATATTCAACTCAGTATGGGCTGCCAGCTCTACCAACTGAGCTATACGGCAGCCCATTTAACATTTGTAACTATTAAAAACAAGAGAAACCGTGATCATATCATCGTCATTAGAGGGTCCTTCTCTTCTTTTCTCTCATTTCTTTCAAACTATGTATTTAATCAATGCTGACAAGCCAATATGTAAATGGAGAGACTTATTGGAGCTTTAATTGTTTCTCCTGCTTATACTGGCCCTGAGTCTGGCACATATTTATCCAAGAAACAAAAACCCATAGTGCTTGTTTGTGGAAAAATGCATTTTAAAATTCAGTCAGCTATCATGAAGCTTCTATCAAGTCACAATCTTTTTTTTATTTACTGAGATGCGTCAAAATCCGCTCATCATTTTTTTCAGCCTCTTTTAATGTTGAGTGAGTGACATTCCTCCGTCAGGCAGTTAGCAAAGAAAATGCATCGAGAGTTACACTTCAAAAGAGTAAAATATATTTAAAAAATACGTTTTAACAAAGCAACACATTTTTGACAGATGGATGACATGATGAGTGGGTATTGTGATATTGACAGTAAATAATTTTGAATAAATGCAACATATATGTATGTATTCTATGAAGGTATTTATTCGCACTGAGTGTTGACAAGAGGAAATGTTAATAAGTATTTTAAGGAACCTTCAGCTTATCACTTTAAACATTAAAACCCTAAATGATAGATAGGGTTCCCTGCTAGGAAATGTGTGTATAACAGGAAACTCTTATCTTGTTGTTTGTATGTTTACAGGTTGTGGAGTCACTCTCTTTATAGCTCTGTATGACTATGACGCTCGCACTGAAGATGACCTCACTTTTCAGAAAGGAGAGAAATTCCAGATCATCAACAACACGTAAGAAAAAACAAACTACCATTTGTTAACAGATGTTGGGGAAAACCTACGACAGGATTGTAATGACGCATTGGAAATAAAAATAGGACAAAAGGAATTGGTTGCCAACAAATAAAGGCTAACTTTAGGTTGAAAATAAGGTCAATTCTAACTTTCTAACATTCTGTTCAATATCCCCTATTAATAAATGCTTTAGTTTAGAATAGTATGTCATCAGTATCTTTTGTGAAATATACACAGAATTAATCTCAACTGAAAAAGAGGTTTGCAGGATTTTGTCCTCATATTTTTTTTCTTGTGTTTCGGGATTTTTTCAGAGAGGGCGACTGGTGGGAGGCTCGCTCTTTGGACACAGGCCACTCAGGTTACATCCCCTCCAACTACGTAGCTCCTGTCGATTCTATACAGGCAGAAGAGTGAGTGCACGCACGCACGCTGAAAGCTACATCTGCTGCAATATAAGTAGCGACACTTTAAGTTGGAAGATTGTCTCTTTGATTGACAAGTAGTGTGAGGTCAGAGGTTAAAGGATGTGAGCTGTTGCGATGCTGACCTGTGTTTTGTTGTCATGGTGACAGGTGGTATTTTGGGAAGATGGGCAGGAAGGATGCGGAGAGACAGCTGCTGGGCCATGGCAACCAGAGGGGGACTTTCCTCATACGAGAGAGCGAGACCACCAAGGGTAAAGAGGCCACACACACACACACACACACACACACACACACACACACACACACACACACACACACACACAGAGAATATATGATAGCTTTCAATTTTCCTCTCTTTCTATTCCCCACCTCTCCCCCACTTTATGCTTCTTTGTCCGCGATTGGTAATCACTCTCTCCTCTCTCTCCTCTCCTCTCCTCTCCTCTCTCTCTACAGGTGCTTACTCTCTGTCTATCCGTGACTGGGACGACAACAAGGGAGACCACGTCAAGCATTATAAGATCCGTAAACTAGACAATGGAGGATACTACATCACCACCAGATCACAGTTTGACACGGTGCAGGAGCTGGTCGTACACTACACAGGTAACGCACACAAACACATAAAGCCAAAAAACACAATTTGTTTCTTATCTCAAGTGTTTGTGTCGCCAGTTTATGATGCACGTCCATCCTGGCTAGTACTGTCATACTATAATTACCAGTGGTTGAAAGTAAGTACTTTTACTGTACGTACAATTTTGAAGTATTTTCAGTTTAACTGTTCAAAAATGTGTACTTTCAGATACAAACGATTTTGAACACATGACTTTTACTTGTATTTAACTTCCATGTACTTTATACAGTAAAGGGTTTTAATACTTCTTCCACCACTGTGACCGTTAGCCACTTGTTATGCTTGATTCAGAGTTGTTGTAACAGGCAGGGTTCACACCCTCCACTTCCTCTGCTCTCTGTCTGTGTACATCTGCCCCCTAGTGGCTTTTGTTGATGAAGCAAAAACTCTGCAGTTTCTGACTTAACATTACAAAATGATCAAAGCAAACAGAGAGATTTGGCCACATATCATTTACTTTTGTAAATAGATTTACTGCACTGTCGCTCGTTTTCCATCTTTTATGTGTCTGTACTTGCTGCTCACAATGTTTATGTTTTAGTGTTTCTTGTGCACTTTTTTATGGTTTACTTGTCAGTTGCATAAGCGGATAAGCAATCTATCTTGTTCTTTTTTTTTTACTCTGCATTTGCTGCTTTCTTCCTTGTTTTGTTTCCTTCTTGCTTTACTTTCTGCCTGCTTGTTTGTCTCTCCTCTCTCTCTCAGAGAGAGCGGCAGGCCTGTGCTGCCGTCTGATTGGCAACTGTAAGCGGGGCATGCCTAAGCTGGCCGACTTATCAGTGAAGACCAAGGATATGTGGGAGATTCCCCGTGAATCCCTCCAGCTGATTAAGAAACTGGGCAACGGCCAGTTTGGAGAAGTCTGGATGGGTATGAATGGACTGTGTTGCAGTGGGGGAGGGCGACAGCAGGAGCACACCTGGATAAAATAAAGTATTAGAAGATCAACAGGTTCATATAACGCATTTAAGTCTTAGTTGTGTTCAGTCGACAAGAACATTGGTAAACACTTCTGGAGTAAAGACATCCACAGTAAAGCCCTGTTTATCTGTGTGTGTCGTTCAGAGTCTGCCTCAAATACACTCAACACACACACAGTTGAAATATATTTAAAGGTGATGTATTGAATAGAAACTTCCACAATGAAAACCCTAATAATTCTCTGTGTGTGATAGAAATGGCACAGAAGCAGCAGTTAATACATAAAAAATGTATTTATTCTACATCCAGGTGTGCAGAGTTGTTCCCCTCCTCCCCTGTTGTTGCATGTGCATGTTTCATCATCTCACCTTACCTCTTTGTCACCCCCCCCACCCATCTTTCTTCTATTTCTCCCCCCCATCACTACACCCTTTTTCTCCCATTCTTCATCCCCCACTTACACTCTTTCCTTTCACTACATCTTCACCCTCCTTTCCCCCATAACAGGCTCTAATGACGGGCTGTGTTATTACCTTACCATGCCCTGTAAAAACTCCACCCCTCTCACCATGGGACTCGGGCGGGACGCCTGGGAGGTGACCAGGGATACGCTGTCCATGCAAACGAAGTTGGGGCAAGGTTGCTTCGGCGACGTTTGGATGGGTGAGGCTTACACCGCCAACCTCTGACGCCCCGTACAGGCGAGAGGGAGAAATGTCTGTCCAGCGCTGTCCGTCTCTGTCCTGTAGCTAAGATTGTCAGTAATGCTTCATGTCATTTGTGTCAGTGTATGTAGGTAGAGTTTCATGTTTATCCCTATTGCTTGGTATTCCCACGTGATGTATTTCCAATTTTTGTTAAAATTGTCAAACAGTTTCACAAGCAACATTCAGATGTGTTCACATTTCTGAATTTCTCCTCAAAGCCAGCCAAGCTATGTGCCTGTCCGTGTGCCTCAGGTACTGCTGGTGTTGATGTAAGATGAGAAAGCCTCCATCCCTACTTACATCTCTCTGTCTCATGTCATGCATGATCTTAGCAATCATTTGCATGCACTAGTAGTATAACCCTGTTTGTGTTATTGCCTGCATATTGTGTTTTTGTATATGTCCTAGTATACGTAGTGTATATATGTACTGTATACACAGCCATCACATTGTAATTATGCCAGAAATTTGATGTGCATGCCTGCGCAGCATGTCCCTGTGTGTCCATGTGTGTATTAACATATCATTGTCTGTATGCCAGGCATGTGGAACGGCACCACCAAGGTAGCGGTGAAGACTCTGAAGCCGGGGACCATGTCCCCCGAGGCCTTCCTGGAGGAGGCTCAGATCATGAAGAGACTCCGCCACGACAAGCTGGTGCAGCTCTACGCCGTGGTGTCAGAGGAGCCCATCTACATTATCACTGAGTTCATGAGCCAAGGTGCCAGGCTGAGTAGACTGTCATGCCTACCAATGTAGATACAGTGTGAATAACTGCTCTATGTTTGAGACCTCGCTGACTCTAAGAAATCAGCTCTTCAGAAATCAGCAGTGTTTTCTTTCCTTTAAGAGGAATATTTGAAAAAATGATGTAATAATTAATGTACAAAAGATGGATGAAGATGAATATAATAAATATACAGGATAATAGAAATAGATAACATTATATCAGTTTTTATATATTTACTTAAATAATAATAATGTAAGGTCATGAAAAAAGAACATTCTCAGAAACACCCTGTGCTGCAATGGAAACCTCAAAAAATCAGCATATGTTCAAAATTTCAACCATTCATAGAACAAAAAATTGTTTTTATATTTTGTGGACTAGCATCAGACAACAGACATCAAACTGAAATGTTCAATAGTCGAGTCTTTTATCCTACATTAAAAACATTTGGTGGAAGGGAGGTACGCTTCAGGCTCACTTCCAAATATCATACTTTTACTTTTAGTTTGTATTACAGCTGCCATTAGAAGGTATGAACTGCTCCATGCTCTATGCATACAACTGGGACATCATTCTTGGTCCTTGAACCTTATGGCTAGCAGGACATTTGAAGTAAAAATGTGATTTGGAACACACTTGTTTATATGCTGTCATGGTGGTTTAATCAGTGTGATATACTTTCTGCTGCACAGAGGGTGATGGGGTAGAATAGCCAGAAAACCTGGCTTGTAAAATGCAGCAGTAGGACATCCTGGTATTTCTGCCATACTGTATTTGGCTTATGTATTGGGATATGCCATATCTTCTTTTGGCATACTAAAGATTATATTAGTATTGGTACTGGAACGCACCCTGGACAATATCCAAATATCAAGGGATTCCCTTTGATCCTCTGACCTTTGACCTGTGTGAAGGTAGCCTGGGGCAGGTAAAACATAAATTCAGCCTTCACAAAAGTATTTAGGATTAAAAAGTCTGGATGTTCATGCAGGACAAACACAGATATTTACTAAATAGTGTCACTATGAATTTTCAAAAAAATATCTTAATATGAATCGGACTATAATACTCATATCTGAGTTACAGGAGGCGTAAGGACTTCCAGTCATTATGTAACAATCTTTGTTTTTCAGGAAGTTTGTTGGACTTCTTGAAAGACGGAGAGGGTCACAGTCTGAAGCTGCCTCAGCTGGTGGACATGGCTGCACAGGTGAGTTCAACACAGACACACAAAGACAGACTTAAGGACATGTTTTCACTATCTCAATGATCTCTTTTCTCTCTCTGTGTGTGTAGATTGCAGCTGGAATGGCGTACATCGAGAGGATGAACTACATCCATCGTGACCTGCGAGCGGCCAACATCCTCGTTGGAGAAAATCTGGTGTGTAAGATCGCTGACTTCGGCCTGGCTAGGCTCATCGAGGACAACGAGTACACGGCCAGACAAGGTAACTACGTGAGATATTAAGTGTGTGAGTGTGAGAGACAGACAAATGATGAGAGCCACGCTTGCTCGATGATGATGAGTGCGATGATTAAGAGTGTCTGCCTCTGCCTCCGTGCCTATATTTTTATACATAATCTATCCTAATTATATGATTATGCATCTTCACTGTGTTGCCATGGTTTCAGGGGCGAAGTTCCCCATCAAGTGGACGGCTCCTGAAGCGGCGTTGTACGGACGCTTCACCATCAAGTCAGATGTCTGGAGCTTTGGCATCCTGCTGACTGAACTCGTCACAAAGGGACGTGTGCCCTACCCAGGTACTGCTGTTTCTTAAACTCATGTAGCCTTGAAGAAACACAATCAATGTGCTGTGTGAGACTTTTCTATATAGTTTACATTTTTTTAAGTAACAACTTTGGCAGTAAATATTCTGTTGCTGTTGTAATTTTTCACTTAGTAAATGGGACAAGAACACAATTTTGTGTGTTGAGTGTTTAAAGGTTTACTCACATTTTTAACCAATACAAACTGCACGACAGCTCTCGTTGAGTGCTTCAAATGTACTATAAAAGTAAATGGTAAGGAAGGGGAGACCTTTTCTTAATCACTTGCAACCCTGCCTTGAAAAAAAGCACACATCCTTTTCCCTCACCCAAATGTGACAATAAATAGATGAATACAATCTTAAAAGATAACACTTTTGATCTGGATCATTGCCAGTTTGTTGCCGTTTATATAGTTCAATAAATCCACATACAGTATGAAAGTGTTGCAGTAAATAAATTGCAAATAAAGTTTTTCCAGTTTTTTTAAATGATCTTCCAAGATCCTAGGTTTGTTTTCTTTTTTAGTGTAACCACCTGTAGATGCATCCTAGTTAATTCAAAGATTAAAAATGCAGTATGTCATCCTTGAAATGTTTCGTGAGTTACCCTGTGTGAATAACACCATTACTATTTTGATATGTTTCACCTTTCCTCCATATCCGATGTATCCAATGTGTGCTTATTATTGTGTTTTATGATTTGTTTATGATCCAATCCTCCTTCTCTGAACCCTTTTTCCCTATCCTCTGTCCAAACCCCCCCCCCCCCTCCCTCCTCCATCCCTTTAGGCATGAACAACCGTGAGGTGTTGGAGCAGGTGGAGCGGGGCTACAGGATGCCCTGCGCCCCGGGCAGCCCCGCCTCGCTCCATGAACTGATGGTGCAGTGCTGGAGGCGTGAGGCTGACGAGAGGCACACCTTCGAGTACCTGCAGTCCTTCCTGGAGGATTACTTCACGGCCACAGAGCCGCAGTACCAGCCCGGAGACAACCTGTGACCGCACAACGCGCAGGACAGATGTGGAGCAATAAACGGACAAACAGAGAGACAGACAGATGTGGACGTATTGCATGCAGATACACTGATATGCCTTTGTTGTATTTGTTCCACACTTATTGTACATGCACACATATTAAGATACATATCATTGCCTTGTTCTATTGTTTTAAAGACAGTTTCCTCCTTTTTGGCTATTGATCACTGCAGCTTGAGGAACAATCAGCCAACCACGTTGAAGCGTCGGAGCTCTGCTGATCAGGCCTCACAGTAATGTTGCTTTACTCTGTAACCATGACAACAAGGAACAGAAAGAAGAAGTAGCTGGTTGAAGGGGGGGGGGGAGTCGAGTTGGTACATGATGTGTTCAGCTGCCATATATGTGCATTGTGCAGATCCTTCTGATTCCTCTGAAGAAACGTGTAGCAGGGCAACTGTTTGATAAATATATGGATCCATAAAAGGTAAAAGCTGCAACAGGTTTCAGAAAACAGGAAGTGAACCCTGTGACGTGGGACGTACAGCGGCAAAAGATTAGTTAACTAGTCGATTTGTGCATCAACAAATAAGTAATTGCCAACCATTTTGCTAATAAAAAAAAAATCGTTATTTTAGAAACTGCTGTTTTCAGTCTCTAAAATATGGAGATGTTCTGCTTTTCTCAGTTTTATTTCATGTTAAAATGAATATGTTTGGGTTTGGGAAAAACAGTCTACCATTCAGCCTGTCTCACACTCAGCCTGTCTCACACTCAGCCTGTCTCACACTCAGCCTGTCTCACACTCAGCCTGTCTCACATTCAGCCTGTCTCACACTCAGCATGACATTTAAATACTTCACCTTGGACAGAGACAAATGGGTTGGACATTTTTTACTATTGTGACATTATAATAATCAACAGATAAATCGAAAACGAAAGTCTTTAGTTGCTGCATTACTGTAAGGTATTTTATGTACACGGACATTTGAGGTTAAATAAAATTCCTCCTCAAACCGTAATCTGACTAATAAATAAAAAAGCTTTTGAACTAATCCTTGTCAATCTCCTGAAAGAGGGAATTGATTTGCAACTGTGCCTTAAAGTGGTCAAAATATGGATCTGCGTTACCTTTAATACTATGTTAGTAAAGTCTGAGAGGAGAGGTGGGAAGGACTGCTTTTTGTTTTTCTGATCATTTCTATTACAATTTTGTAAGAACTGTCTCTTTTGCTGTTTTAATTTAACGCAGATAGGTCTGTGCATCACAAAGACTTTTATATCTAGTTACCATGTAGTTTTCATCCATTGGGAAGGCAGAATGAAATGTTACACATAAAGGGAATGATCAATGTCCGTGGACCCTGGACAGACAGGGTTTCAAATATGTTATTTGACAAGAGTGTAACCTTTATGTGATTTTATGAGATGCCCCTGTCATGTTATTGTAATAAAGATCAAATATCTTTACTGGGTTAATTAATGTCTCTTTTTCTGTGTGTTTTTGGACATTTACGTTTTCTGGTTTGATGCTTCCTCCTTAGATTATGTCAAAGAAAGATGTCATCACATTGCAATATACAAAGAGGAATAACACTTTCCTTTGGTCTGCATTTACATTTGTATTATCCTTTTTAGTATTTTCATGAACATTTGAAAGCTTGTGTGAGGATTTATTCTTCAGTTGTTTTGTGCTTTAAGGAAACAACAATATGTACAAAAGGTAAGTTATAAATATATTTTTTGTCCCTTGAGGCAATTTAGTATAGACCACGCGTAAATTAATTTTTTACTTTAGGTTTTATAATAAAATATCATTATCATTAGTCTCTATTCCATCCCTTTCAGTGGCAGTTCCTCCCACTGTTGTCTGTGTATCTCTCTTTCTTCCTCATTAACGCCTGCTCTCTTTCAGTTGTGAGTAAACTACTGTTCCCACAATTCCACAAGTGTAAAGTGAGGCCAGCTACGGGTGCCCGGATGGCTTTGACAGTCAGGCACGTTGGAGAGGCACAGCGGAGACTGGGGCGCACGAGAGACAGAGAGCTGGAATTGCAGAGGCAGAGACGCACACCGTGTTCGCCTCCCGCATACGGTGGAGTCCCGTGCCTGTCACCAAAACCGAAGCACAAGGCTCGAGCGCGGTAATGTCTGCACTTTATTTGTGGACAAGACTGTGAAGCAACCTCCCAGCTCTCCATTATTTAATCTTTTTCCCTCCTTTTGTGTTTTGCTTTCCCATCTTTGTGGGTGCAGAGATTGATGTGAGCGAGAGGAGCGGTTTTTCCATTGAGCCATTCGAGACGGTGGCGCGAGACAGCAGGACGAGACGTTTACATAGGTTTGGGAGGAGGGCTGTTTGGGGAGACCAGATGAAGGGGACATGCTGACGGCTGCAGCGGCTCCGTGACCCGGGAGAGGACCGGAGCAGCGTCACCGACCGCCGCGCGAGCCAGCGTTGACACCGCAACAGCTCGAGCATCCAGCGCGAGCCCCCAGACTCTCTCTCTCCCTTGGTGAGTGCGCGTGCAGCGTCTTGTGTACACAACATAAAAAATTAGCCTAGTGTCCGCTCAGCCAGTTGTGCTGCGCACCTCTGGCTACGTTTCCTTTTTGAGTTTTTACATTAACCTCGTCGCTGCCAACGACGGACTGAGCTCTGCATTCGTGCTGCTGGGTCATCTTTACTGTGGGCATGCAGCGTGTGTGGTGGGGTTTCAAATTATGATCTTCGAAACACACATATAATGTCTTTAAATGTTCGCGTAATGAAGCTTGAGTATCCCGCCTGTAATTTCTATGTCAGTTTTGGCAATATCCTAAGCACTTATTAGCCTCATTATAGCAGCATTGATACAGTAAAGGCAGAGCAACAGTATACAGTACCTCAGGTACTGTCACACATACACACACCCATTCACACACACACACTTGAGTTGTTTATTTGCTGTCTCAATATCTCTGTGGGGGACTTTTCATAGACTGAATTTACATGCCAGTGACATATACCAGAGGTTTGACTGTGAGCCCAGCTCCTGGTGATGGACAGGTGTTTGCTTTTAGTATAAACAGGAGACACCAAGAGTCCCGGTGAGCATCCGTCCAGCCGCAGGGTTTCCATCCCGGCAGCCCGCCTGAGCTGAGTTGTCAGGGCAGTTACAGGCAGGACACAGCAGCAGCACATCCTGCAGTGGCAACAGGGCTTGAGAGACAAGGCGTACTCATGGTGGTGATTATCAGCTCTTGTCTGTGAGGGGGGTGGGAGGGGGGGGACAAAGGGAGAAAGAGTGCATGAGAAACTGAAGGAGAGCAGAGGGAGAGAGAAGTCAATGTCGATGTCTGGGCAGTGACAGTTCGTTATTTAAGGGGCCCCTCAGAGACGTGCACAGGCTGCCCTAGTGCAGGTGCCGTTAGTATGCAGAGTGATGCTCTCCCTGTCTGTCTGTCCGTCTGTCTGTCTACCACTCTGCCTGCCTCACACTCAGCCTGTCTCACACTCAGACTGTCTCACACTCAGACTGTCTCACACTCAGCCTGTCTCACACTCAGACTGTCTCACACTCAGCCTGTCTCACTCTCTGAGTGGCTCAGCTGAAGACTGAGTTTCTTTTTTGGCAGGTCCACTTGGACATAATGAATAATTTCAGCCTTCTGAATGCTGGAATGAAAAGCGAATGGCCTTACCTTGGCATGCAATCACTGTCTGTCAGTCTTGTCTTGAGTGCATGGCCCTGTGTGTGTGAGTGTGTGTGTGTGTGTGTGTGTGTGTGTGTGTGTGTGTGTGTGTGTGTGTGTGTGTGTGTGTGTGTGTGTGTGTGTGTGTGTGTGTGTGTGTGTGTGTGTGTGTGTGTGTGTGTGTGTGTGTGACAAACAGAGGGAATGTGAACATATAACAGCTTAGGCCTATTGTGCTTCCTACCTGTGTGAGCTGGGCTAGTTGTCATAGCAACGGCCTTGTAGCTCCGTTGATGTTCCTCCTGTCCTCATTGGCAGGGTCAGCGCACCTAACACACCACATCTCGTCTCAAAGCTGTGTGTGTGTGTGTGTGTGTGTGTGTTAGCATGCATGTACCTCTCAATGTGTGTGTGTGCTGTGGAAGTACCTTTTGTTTGCGCCTTGCTGCAGTTCGTAGGCGTGTGGGTTGATGACAGTGACAAGCCAGCGTGTGTGTGTATGTGTGCACATGTGTGTGTGTGTGTGTGTGTTGCAGTGTCACAAAGATACACCCTGCAGATATGACAGCCTAAAGCTCAACCAATCACCTGTTTTCTCTCTCTGCCTATCAGCATGTGAGGGTGCTGTAGTCAGATGTCCTTTTGATATGGAGGTCGTCATGGAGATGGAGAAGACAGAATGGACACACATGTATACACACACACACACACACACACACACACACACACACACACAACTGCACAACTGCACAACTGCACATAGACACATTGATTGGTGATTTATCTCTATTGATTTCCACTGGTGTCCTGGTATTTTTGGAAGTTTTATTTAGGATAGTTCAACCTGTTGAATAGCGGCTAAGATAAAGTTAATAGATGCTGATGCATCATGTCTAAACATGAAACATAAAAATGTTTTTCCTTCCTTCATTGTTTGCTAGTTAAATTCAGGATTGATTAAATAATCTTTTGAGGCTCAAAATACAGCCCCCCAGTTGTATTACCAATCTTTTGACTCCCAAAACTCCAAGTCCTCAGATCCTTAAGCCCCGCTGGTTGTCCACAGGTCAAGGCTGGAGACTAAATGTGACCGGGTGTTTGCCATCAGTATCACTAGATTTCTGGAACTCTCTTCCTGAAAAGATTGAGCTTGACAGCATATTTACCTGTTTTGAAATCATTTCTTAAAACATATTTGTATAGAAATGCCTTTTTCAATGCGAGATTTGTAACTTTTATTTTGCTTTATGAGTCAATCAATCAATCAACATTATTTTTTTATAGAGCCCAATTTCCCAAATTACCTACTCTGTTCTTAGACTCTTTAAGTGCAAGAAACTGCTCAAAAGAAACGCCACAATTACGGGGTTAACATAGAAACCTGAAACAGAGATTCCTCTAACAGCAAGGACACAAGGACAGACGTGAAATGATGTCCTTTATGTTTCTTTTGTTATGTTTAGCTTTTTGTCCACACTTTACTTTTAGTGTTTTTTTTTACCATTAAACTAAAGTTGTATAGTTTTATAAATATGTACTTATTTTTGGTTTTCTTCACATAGTTTTGCACTAAGAACGTTTTATACAAATAGCATTATAGTTATTATAATTATAATATTATTGTATTGACCATATTACCTTAAAGGTGGAGTAGGTAAGTTTGAGAAACCGGCTCGAGATACACTTTTTGTTATATTCCATGGAATGCTCTTAACATCCCGATAGCAATGAATATCTTAAGTGCTTTGACAACAAATCCATAAAAAAATGTCATCAGTGGAAGCCGTAGTACTGTAAAAAGCACGACCAATCATTTTAGCCGGCCCGGCTAAAATAACTGGATGGCCTACCTGCCTGTCAGCCTTCCATCTGTGCACAAACTTATCTCGTGCCCTCATTGGTCATGTGCACGTCGTGTGTGTTGGAGGAGGGACTCTATAAGGAAGTAGCAGATTTCTTCCGGCTGTGTATTTTCAAATTCTAGCGCACTCGAGCTGGTTTCTCCAAAATTACCTACCCCACCTTTAAGTTACAGAGACCATATAAACCCGGCTCCCTGACAGAGCTTCAGTAATCTATAAATCAGAAAGCATATCCTACCAGATATGAAGTATTTACTAACGCTGAATTTCCCAAAATATTTTGGGCATATAACGCATCTCATTTTAGGAATTTGGCTTCTAGCTGCGCTCACGATTTGTCAAACGCAACAAAGAGCTTTTCTCTTTGCTTACAGACATTTTGTGAAAGTCAGCTGAAGATCAATCTGGCACTTTCCCTTTGAACTATTCAAAACACATTTATATATGACTGCCGTTTAGGAAAAGGGATTTTATTCCAGTGTTGTGAATGAGCCAGGCCATTTACTCAGCACTTGAAATCCAACCCAAAATACATAAGAAACTGATTTAGGGCACAGATTCAAATAAAAAAATCTCTTTGTAGAGAAAAAAACGGACTCGTTAGGAGCTTTAAGCTACATTCAGATGTTATATCTATCAGAATATGGCTAGTTGTACTAAGATACACAATATACACATGTTTCTTTTACTGTTGTTTCCAAATCAGAGATGTTATACTGTACTGTAAGGCCTGCTGTCCAAAAACGTCTTAAAGTTCAATAAGACGTTAATATTGACTAATTGGACATTTTCTGAATATTTCTTCCTCTTTTAATATTTTCCACAACGAGCGACTGGATGAAACAATTAGTCATTACTTTGTCCTTGCAGTGTAAGGTCCTGTCTTTTATGACTCCTATTAATCTAATCTACACCTGAAGTGAAATAGCTCCCCCCCCTAACCACACACACACACACACACACACACACACACACACACACACACACACACACACACACACACACACACACACACACACACACACACACACACACACACACACACACACACACACACACACACACACACACACACACACACACACACATAAACACAGCAGCCATTTAGCATTAGTGTAAGCAGTGTTTGTGCTCCATTCTATCACCTCCCACACGATACATTCATAAAACCTCTCCTCCGCGTCAAAGGCAAAAAATAACATCTCCCTTTTCTTTCCTCTCGCATCCTTCCCTCTTTTAACCCCTCTGCCCCCCCCATCTTTGCTTTAGTCAGTCCTTTTTTCTTCTTCTTCAACTTATCTCCCTCTCTCCTTCCCTCCCACCTTTCCTGTATGTCCTTCTTCACCTACCTCCCCATTCTGCTCATTCTCCTTTTCTCCCTCACCCCCCACAGGGCTGGTTGCAGCCGGTTTGAGTCTGACAGTGGAGAGGAAGCTTCGACCTTTCACCTCCAGAGGATGGAGGGAGGGAGACGAGAGGAGAGGGATGATGGAGAGCAGCGGGGTGGAGGGGGGGGGGGGGTTGAAACTGCGAGAGGCGAGGGAGAGGTCAAAGAACAGGAGGGATTTGCGAAGGGAGAGGAGAAAGCTCGGGGGGGGGGGGGGAAGGGACTGAGAGAGAGAGGACGGAGGGGTCAGGGAGGAAGAGGAGTGATAAATGAAGGGAGAGCGGCGAGATGGAAGGATGAGGAGAGAGAGGATGAGAGGGAGAAGAAGAGAGAGTGTGAAGCTGCTGTGTACCTCCCTAACAAGCTGGACAGAATCAGCTCAATTATTAAAGAGGAGCGAGAGATTGGGAAAACACGCAGACACACACGCACAAAAAAGCATCTCTTGGTGTCTGGCACACAACACATACTCGCTGTGTCTCACAAACACAATCATTTGCTCATCCACACACACATGTACAGTGTGTCTGATTTCTTATGCTTGTGCGTCAGCGTGCTAGTTATCTTTGTTTTTAGCTGCATGTGAGTGTGC